ACAATAATAACAATAATAACAATAATAACAACAATAACAATAATAATAATAACAATAATAATAATAATAATAATGATAATGATAATGATGATAATAATAATAATAATAATTAATAACAATAATGATTAATAATAATAATAATTAATAGTAATAACAATAAACAAAATAGCGGTAATAATAACAGTAATAACAGCAATTTTTATTATTATAACTTTAATTATAATTATAATGCATCTAATTCCTTTTTATTGCACACATCAGTACAAACTAATTTATTCTCCACTTTTTTAAAACGAATTTCTTCCAAAAAATTTCTGTTTGTTAACTTTAAAAATATACTTCTAGACAAATTATAGTAATGATGATAATTCTCAAAATTTCTAAGGAAAAAATTTTTCAAATTGACAGAAAAAAGAAACTAAAACTATTTAGCCATGCAAATTTCATCATATTGAATCATTATATATCATTTTATCATATTTTTTATGAACTAACTTTATTTTCTTGCTTATTTGCAACTGGAAGAATTTTGGGTGGTAATTGTTGATATTGTAATAATGATGATGATAATGATTTGATTGGAATATTTGTGCCATTCCTTTTATGATCATTGTCAAAAATCGTTATATCTTCAAAATCATTATGTGGATTATGCAATGATGACTTATCATTATTATCAGCATCATTACTGTTATTCTTACTAATTGAACTTTTGACCTTTTCATTCATCGAACCTAAATTCTGTTTAAAATGTTAAAATGATTCATTCCTGCAATAAAAAATGCGTCTACATCCAATAAGTTATAAAATAATTTCGAAAAGATCACAAGCTATATCTGATGAGCTTAGTTAAGCATCATGTATTAGTATATCATTGCTAATTAAGAGTTTCCTTCTAATTAACCTCTCTTTTCGCAGTGGAAAGGAAACAAAAAAAAAAAAAAAGAAGATAATAAAGGATAGCTTTAAATAAATAAAATGGCATTAAAATCATTTTCATAATTCTTACTCAAAAGTTATTTGTTACAAAAAGAATACTGAAATAATTAGATATTCGACTGAATAATTGTTGATGTAAATTTTATGCAAATAAGCGGTATTTTCATATTTATTTCATCTAAGATAGGAAAAGAAGCTGAAGGTAAAAGTTAAGGTAAAGTTAAAGGTGAAAAATAAAGAAGTTAACATTTTAGTGAAATAATTTTATTGTTGAAATTAATTGTTATCACTGATTACCTTCATTATTTTTCCCATCATTCGGCAATCCATTGTATTCAACTACTGTTAATAGCGGTGAGATCTGAGAAAATTGTTGTGGAATATTTTCATGCGGACTGTTTGTTGACGTGATAAATAATTGTTTTGATTTTAGGTAAATAGATGATAATGATGAAGCATTATTAATTAGTGCTGGTAATTGAGTTCCCTCTTTCCCCTTTTTCTTCGTTTTCAGTTTTGTCCATTGTTGTTGTTGTTGTTGCAATTGTTGTTGTAGTAGTTGTTGTTGTTGCAGTTGTTGTTGTAATTGCTGTTGTTGTAATTGTTGCTGTTGTTGCAGTTGTTGTTGCAGTTGCTGTAATTGTTGTTGTTGTTGTGATTGTTGTAGTTGTTGTAATTGCGATTGTTGTGGTGGTAGTTGTTGTCTCTAAATAGTTTTTTTTTTTTTTTTTTCTCCTGCAAATAATAATATGAAAAAAGAAAATATTTTGCAGTAGTTTTAAGAAATTGTAAAGAAAAAAACTTCACTTTTCAAAATTATAACTTTCAGTGCCTCTCTTTCTCTCTCTCTCTCTCCTAAATAAATGTAAAAATTTCGTTTTTCTTCAAAGAAAATATACGAAAAAAAAACAAAAAGTGCTTATATTTGAATTGATATGAATTTTTAAACCAAAATATTATGTAATCCTAAAGATTATTTTTAAGACTTTCAAAGAATATTATAGTAGTAACCGCTTGTTTTATATTAAGTAATTCCATTTCTAGTGGACAAGGACAAAAGACTGCATTGGCACCGGGTTCACCAATTGGTCCTCGATTACCTCTTGGACCAAAATTTCCTGGAAGACCATCCATTCCCTTAACACCTTTCTTACCATCCGGTCCAGGAGGTCCGTACATATAGTTTCGCCTACCTAAAAATTAATACTTTACATCTAAAATTGTAAAGTTTTTAATTTATCATTTAGACATGAAACTTTTAATTGAAATACAAGGAGTTACCTCGAGGACCTTGCGGTCCAGTTCTACCAATTGATCCAGGTAGTCCTTTTGGGCCTGGTTCCCCAATACCACCTGTAGCAGGCTTTCCATCCGGTCCTTTTGGGCCTCTCATTCCACTTGTTCCATTATATCCTTCTGAGCCTTCTAGGCCAATTTCACCTAAACGAAACAAATTACAAAATTAGCTAATTTCCACAACAAATTATGTTAAATTAAATAGAAGTTCATGAAGTACCATCTTGGCCATCCGATCCAGGAATTCCCGGAACACCTCGATCACCTTTTGGACCTTGCATTCCTTGATTACCAGGTGCTCCAGGTGGTCCACGTTCTCCTTGTGGACAAATAATGCACTGTTGTTGTATTTCTTCCAACAGCTCAAACGTACTTTTTCCTGGTAATCCGACTAATCCATCGTCACCAGGTTCTCCATCCTCACCTGGATCTCCTAAAAAAACTGATTAAAGAGATGATCTCAAAACTTAATTTAATTCTTTACTCAAATCTAATTTAATTCGAACTAAAATAAAATCATCATAATTTATGCATCAAATATCTGGACCATTATATACCTGGTGGTCCTGGTGGTCCAGGTTCTGGTGGTGGACAAATATTTGTCGACTTTTTCTTGCGTAATAATTCATGACGTTTTTCAGTAAAATGCATATCACCTGTATCAGCTAATAGCTGGAAAAAAAAACTGTTAAAAATATCACTCATTTTAGTTACTACAAAATCATCTCAAAACATTAATTGAAATAATTAGCAAAAAAAAATATTCGATAGAAAGGAAAATGATAATACTTTTTTTTCTTTTTTTTTTTTCATTTCCGATAACTAATTGCAATAAATAATAATCAGCTAACCTTAAATAATTTCATGCGTTCCTCAATTTCATGTCTCATAATACCAGTCTGTTTGAAAAAAATTGGTAATAAAATTAATTGTGCCAATATTGTCAATGCACTAATTAAGAAAGTTATGCCAGCTATCGTACCATAAAACATCTAAATTTGTAGGTATGAATTCAATCAAATATTAAAAACTATGCGAAATATTGTTTGATATTTTATAATTTAAAATTGGAACAAATATACGTGAAACAATAAATTTACGTTAAACAATAAGCAAATTAGAATGAAACAATAAATTTAAATTAGACGGCAAATAAATGAAGGTGAAACAATAAACTTCGATCAAATGGTGAGTAAATCAAAGTGATGAAATAACAGTAAGATGTTAAACAATGAAAAAATTAGCAAAAAAAAGGAAAAATAAATTGTTGAAATTGTTACAAATATTTAATTATTAGAAAGAGAAAATTATTGTTTATCAATTGAATTACAATTTTTTTTTTTTTTTTTTTGTCAAACATATTCTTTTCAATTAAAATTAATCAATTACTAATATTATGACTATCGCTGATAACGCAATTAGAAATAAAGGAACAATAAAAAAAAAGCCACACATCTTTTGAAAGCCAGATATCATTGTTTTATATGCTTATATCATCTTACGTTTACACTAACAAAGAATACGATATCAATGGGAGTTCTATAAGGAAGCTAATTCTTGTAATCATAAAACAGTACTATGACCTTCCCATTCGGAGTAGCGGAATGTTCTGAGCGTCAAATCATTTCGGAAGATACGTTTCAACAGGTCAGTTGGTTAGAGGATATTGAGCGTGATTTA